CAAGCGGGGCACCCCGACCCGCCGGCCTCGGCCCACCCCAAGCTCGACGCGAGAGGGGACAGGGACTCCCCGCCGCCGGCGGCGACGACCAGGCTTCGCCTGGCCGCGCCCTCTGGCAGCGGCGAGGGGAGAGGGGAAGAGGGAGGGGGGACCCGGCCGGCGGCGGCTAGGGTTTCCTCCCGGTCGCGCGTGGGGCGACTCGGGAGGGGAACGGGGGATATATCTGGTTGATTGATTTCAACATAATGGTTACAAGATTGATCTCCAGGCTAAACATATGCATGATCACACTTAAAACTAGATAACAACAAACAGATACAGGAGATGGATTACGAAGATGTTCAACCATCTAGCCATCTAATCTAAGTATCTAACCCAAGCAATATTGTATAGCATACACCACAGGAGATAAGCTGTGGCAGGGACTTAATACATGAAAGCACAGCACAAAAAGTATACTAGATAAAAGGCCTACACTTACAGTACTTCTTCTGAAGCAACGACTGCAGCAAACAAATAAAGCTCTCTTCCAGGATAGCATGCTTGCACCAGGGAACAGTCTCCCAGAACAGATCAAGTCCTCAAAGCTCTTGCAGATTTAACAAACCATTTGCGGATTCGACCCCATCTCATCAGAATGGCAGCTGCAAATCCAACACCGAAGCCCATCCCGACAAACAGAAACAGTATGACGTCCACATCTGAAGACTTCTCCACGTGTGCCACGCTTGGAGGGGCAAGTGATACGCCACAGGGGTTGGAGAATGGCGATCCACACAACCCCAAATTCCCTTCGAATGAAGTAATGTCAAACGTGAGGAACTGGCGTGACTGCGGTATCTTCCCCACCAACTGGTTGTCGGACAAGTTCAGGGTGGCCAGAGAGGTGAGATTTGTGAGTTCCTGTGGAATCTCCCCAGAGAGTTGGTTGCAGGACAGGTCTAGTGACTCCAGATCAGTTACACCGCCAAGCTGGGTTGGAATTTTTCCCGTGAATGCATTGTGTGACATGTTCAGTACGCGCAGTGAAACAAGCCGTCCAACTGACTCAGGAATGGTACCTTCCAATCTATTATTTGAAAGGTCAATTGCTGTTAAAGTGGTCAGGATCCTTGTAAATGTCACGTAGGACCCCTTGTATGTTATCACTACAGTGTCCTGGTAGAATGCCTGAACACTTGGTAAGTTTTTAGCACCGACAATATCGCCTGCACTATTGAACCTCATCATCATTGATTTTAATTTCCTAAACCATTCTGAATTTAAATTGCCAGAGAAGTTGTTCGCAGCAAGATCAATAATTTTCAAGGTAGAGAAGTACTCTCTGGTTTGGTAATTCCCAACAACATCATCTACCGAACCATAGAATTGGTTGGATCTTAAGATAAGAACATAAAGATTGGGAAGCTCCCCTAGCCAAGATGGGAAAGTATCAAGTAACAGGTTGTTTCCAATGTCAAGAACCTCCAACTTACTGCAGTTAGAAAGTGCCCTCGGAAGCTTCCCCTCAATCTTATTGCCATGTAAATCTATTGTCTGGAAAATACATTCACTTGTAATATTGGATGACAACGTCCCTTCAAAGTTATTCTCCCTCAAATTTCACACCACCAGTCCACCACTTTCTATCAGACAGGAAGGAATCGGCCCACTAAAATTGTTGTAGGATAGGTCAAACACACCCATAATTCCACTGCAAACTGAATCTGTCATACATCCATTTATACTGTTGTTGGACATGCTGAGATATGTGGTACCAAGATATGAAGTGAAGTTTGGAAGAACAGAAGAGAAATTATTGTGTGAATAATCCACAAATAGCAGTGGCGAGTATGGTATAGGAATCTGCCCCTCGAGACGATTAGCACTAAGATCAAGAAATGCCAGTGTACTTGAAGGGAGAAAAGATGAATTAAGTTGCATGCCGGTGAACATGTTGTGTGAAAGATTTAAATATGAAAGGCTATTGTTCCATCTCCCCCATATCCAATCTGGTATGTCCCCACTGAGTCTATTGCATGAGAGATCCAAATCACGCACATTGCTTACGCGTGCCAAAACAGTCGGAAATTTGGTTATGTTGCAACACCCAAGCTGTAAGCTGGAAATTCCAGAGAAATAGGTTGAGGAGTTATTATTGCCTTCTCCATCCACGATAGACAATTTATTGTGTGAAAGCCTCAAATCAATTAGCTTTCTTAGCCTCCAAAATGAGGTAAGTTCCACCAAACCTACCAAGTTGTTCCAATCAATAAGCAGTTTTCTCAAATTTGTGAGGTCAAGGATTGACCTGGGAATCTGCCCAGTCAATTTGTTCATGGATAGGAACAAGTACTCCAAGCCCAAAGATGCCACCGTGAACTCTTTTATAGGACCAGAAAGTTTGTTCTGAGAAAGATCCAAGTATTGCAATGGAAGATTAGAGAGAGACACTGGAATTTCCCCTGCAAACACAAACAGAATGGAAAATGGAAAGCTGTCATAAATGCATTTCTACTCCTACACCATGAAGTTTTTAAGTTCTCGCAGAGAAGAATTTCTAGGCAAAAACAGGTTTAATCTCTGGCAGACATGTTTTTGTACACTAGAAGAAGCATATGAATACACTTAGTCTTTGCTTGGACTATATTGACATTTCAAAAGCACTTCATTAATTTATATTCACAGTCTAACTACTAGCGCTATCTCTTGGAGTCTCAACAAAGAAAATTTTACTGGAATGAGCACATATATCCATAATTAACTAGAGTATACATTACAATACAACAATCCCGTAATCATACCTTTGAGATAATTCTGTGATAGATCCAAATATTGCAGACTGGTCAAATTACCAACTGAATTCGGTATTCCTCCGGTAAATTTGTTACCACCAAGTATCAAAGATGTCAACTCCTTGAGCTGCCCAACTTCATATGGTATTGTCCCAGAAAGCTTGCACCCGAGTTGCATGCTTTGCAACCTACTGAGATTGCCAATGGCACATGGTATTGGCCCGTAAAAATCAGAATATACTAGATGCATGCTTCTCAAATTCACGAGATTGCCAATTGTAGATGGCATTCGCCCCGGAAAACCGCAATCAATGATGTCCAGACTTCTTAAATTCGTGATGTTGCCCATTTCAGATGGCATTGGCCCAGAAAAGCGAGAAGAATCTAGGCTCAGGCTTCTCAAATTCACGAGATTGCCAATTGAAATTGGAATTGGCCCTAGAAAATCACAATAAGAGATATCCAATGTTCTTAAATTTGTGAGGTTGCCAATTGAAGATGGCATCGGGCCATTTAGTCCACAGCCATATATAACCAAGCTTTGCAAGTCCATGAGATTACCAACTGCAGATAGTATTGGCATAGTGAGGTTGCAGGTGAAAATACTCAATCTTCTCAAGTTGTTGAAGTTGCTAATGGAGGACGATTTTGTGCTAGAGAGGTCGCATTCCAAAAGTACCAAGCCTGCCAAGTTCTTCAGGTCCCCAATCCATGAAAATGTTGATTCTAACTCTCCTGAGAAGCCAAACCCACTGAGCGACAATACGCTCAAAGAGGGAAGCATATTCAGTGAAGAGCGAAACTCAGCAGAAATATATTTTGCATCAAGAGCTAACTCTTGCAATGACAAGAAATTGCTGAAAGAGCTTGGTTTAGAAAATGAAAAGTTGGTCTCATATAGTATCAAAGAATGTAAAGACCTTGCATCAGAAAAGTTCGGCAAACTCCCGGAAAGGGCTGTATTGCCAGACAAATCAAGGAACCTTAGTCTTTTCGACTGGAAGCTCCTAGGAGGGAACCATCCCTCAAGATTATTATCATAAACTTGAAGCACAGTTAAATTGACAAAATCCATGAAGAACTCTGGAAACCGTCCAGCAAAGATATCACTGTTGCTTTGGAGATTGATCACAGTTAGAGAGCTGAGGTTCAAAAGGGATTGGTGGATCGGACCGTAGAGATAACACTCCCCCAAGCTAAGAACCTGAAGACGAGGAGTAGATTTAACTAGAGTGTCACACCACCCTTCTCCGCTACCAGACATATCCACACCATCAAGGTAGAGCTCTCTCAGATTGCGGAGGTTCCCCACTAGGCCTTGAAAATCAGATATCCATGACGAGTTGATCAGTAGGAAGTCATCTTCCACGTCAATAGAAAGATCCAAGGAGACAAGATTCTCAAGTTTGCCGATGGCAATAGGGATTTCACCCTCAAATCCTGATTTGGAGAGGTTGAGGTGGGAGAGAAAAGTAAGTCTCTCAAGTCCAACAGTGGGCATGCTATAGCCGCTAAATCCACTTATCATGGACTTTCCGCTAAAGTCATTCCTGCTAAGGTCGAGAAATCGGAGGGAGGCGAGATTAAAGATCACAGGATCAAGACCTGGGCTGATCAAGCCACGACCATTGAGGTTGAGGTTCGTGACACGACCAGTGGAGCCACCGCAGCCAACACCTTCCCAACGACAACAGTTGGTGCCGTCTTGCCAAGATGGAAGGCTGGTGGTGGCTTTAGAGAATAAGAAGGATTTCTTTAGTTGGAGAAGGGTTGCTGCTTCATCTGAATGGCATAGGACAGTGAGGTTACCATCACCGTGTGCGCCGGAGGTGGCTAGTGCGGGGAGCACTGCAAGAAAGAGCAGTAGCATCCGCCGAACCATAGCCATTGGTGTGAAGCCTAAACGCAGCACCGCGCCTATTTCTTTTCTTCTTCTTTTTCTTGGAAAGGCAGGAGTGCTACAAGCCTTAATTTATAGAGAGAATAAGCATGGCAAATTATAGAAACAAGAGGCACATAAATAGTGCGGTGAAGGGACTTGTCATTTGTCAAATGTCACATCTGCTGGTCTTCCCTGAAGTCTTCCAATGAATGCAATTGCTGATTTTTCAATTCTTATTAGAGACCATATGTGCGGAGGGGAACGAAACTCGTTTCACTTTCGGGATAAAAGTAGACTGTGATTTGTGAGTAGCAATCACCATCTCATAATGAAGGTTAATTGCAGCACCAGCATGTAGCTTCAAGTAAAATATCTCTGATTGGTACATGCAGCAACAGATGACCAGACAACCATCAACACCATCAGTAGTAAGATCATTAATCACCACCACATGCAGCATCGTTTAACCGCAAGTGCAAGTCCAAGCGACAGAAGTTTAACAGAACAGCATAACAAGGAAGAAACAGAAACAGGAGGTTCTGAAATGGTGTGGTGGCGGATTTGTCAGAAATCATGTTAATTCAAGGTTTATGCCGGTCTTCGCTAAGCCATCAAAACAACATATCTGGTCAGAACGGAAAGCTCCGGCCAAGCAAGACTGGTACTATCCGCGCGAGACGGGTTGCAATTGTGACTCTTGCTGGGTTTTCTTTCCCCTCCATTCGACGGATGCGTTTTTGTTTTGGAGTTACTAGCTAGCATTGTTAATTTGGTCTGCTAGTGAATTTGTGAGGAGGAGGGAGCTTGGTTCACTGTCCCAGTGGCACCAGATTGTGACTTGTGAGTTGCAGATCAATTGCAGCAGCATCACGTTACTGCAAGCAGGAATACCGATGACTAAATCCACCAGAATCGCAGTTCTTGGGTGGGGACTTTTCGTCAGCTATCCGGTCGGCAGTGGCACACATAACAGTTTACAGACACCACCGCACACTAGATAGCTAGCTAGATTGCTCTTAAATTCGGTTGCCAAATCAAGACTATGGAACTAGAAAGCTAGTAGAAGGATGGAATGAGCGCGCAGTTGAACGGTGCGTACCTGCAACGAAGCAGCCAGCACGAGAAGAAAGCAGCAGGGGAGCCCCCAACCCTACCTGCGTCACACATCGATGGAGGCCAACCTGATGGAGTCCGGGCCGGTGAATCGATACCCGCCGCGGGATTCCTCCCGGCGCAGAAACAGCGGCCTCGCCGGTGAATCGATGGAGAACGGCGCCCGGCGATGGGCTGCGCTAGCTGCGTCCAGCAGCCGCTCGGGAATGGGAAGGAGCCGCTCCATCTCCGGGAACGAATGAGACGCGCTATAGCCTGCCATAGCTGGCGTGCCTGCGGGATTGTACGGCGAGGTGGCCGTGGTGCTCGGATAACCGGCGGCGACGGTCTCGGTGGCGGCCGCCGTGAGCAAAAAATGGGGCGACGAACCGACCAAGAAGATTGGATGGTATGGGCCACATTGGGCTTGGGCTGCGCCACCGACCATCATCACCCAGCTAGCTAGTGGGCTCGTATCCCTCAAAAAAGGAGCTAGTGGCCTCGTGGCGGAGCGCCGCTATGTCCGGCCTACTGCGCGAGGCAGTAGCTTGCCTCGCCTGAAGGCAACCGATTCGTCAGCCGGCCCAGTAGTGCTGACGGCACTCCCGCTTTTTTCTTTTCTTCCGCTTATATTTTCTGTTTTTAACTTTTATTCTCTTTAATCTTTTGTTTTATCTTTATTTCTTTTTTATTTTAGTTGTTAATGTGTGCATCGCACATTTGAAAATTTTAATCATGTATGTATTTGCCAAAATGTTAGATGTGTAAAAAAAACTGTTCCCGGTGAACATCAAAACACATATAATGTGTATGACAAAAACAGTCATTCAAACATGTATTTGAAATTATTTTAATCATGTATTTAATAAATGTTAAAAGTGTACATTTGTGTAGGTGCATATGAAAATTTTACAATGTGTATCAGAAAAGTAGGCATCAAACCATTTGTTTTAAGAAATTTAAATGTACTTGAAAAATGTTAAACCTATATAAAAATATAATTATACGAAAAAATATACAATATATATAAAAACGTAGATGTCAAAACAAATATATTAAAAATGTTACTAACTTATTTTTTAACATGTATAAATAATGTTTATGATTTATACAGAAAATATAGAAATGCGTATCAAAACTGTAGACATGTGTTGATTTTTTTACATCTAACATATACTTAAAATATTAAGCATGTATTGAACAAATTTAAACATATATAAAAAATGTCTCTAATGTATTAAAAATTTGCAACATGTATGAAAAAATAGAAATTAAAACAAATAGTATTAGAGCATATATTAATCATGTATTTTAAAGATGTTAGACATGCACAAAAAATTACATTATGAATGAAAAAGAATATATGTGTGTTCAAAAAATTAAAAATAAACACATGAAATAAAATGAAAAATATATCTTCTATATCTAAATAGCTAGTCCCCACTCACATATTTCTCTCAACATGCAAGCATGCCACCTCATCATTCAACATGCATAGGAAATGCCCACCTCAACATGCAAACATGCATGCATGAAAATTTCATATATTATGCTATTTACATTTAATTCTTATAATAGTTCAAAATTTATTATTTCAAATATTCATGTTCCTTATAACCAAAACCTTATTGAAATGCAGGGCATCATCTAGTTTTAAAAACAAGGAAACAAGTGCTAAGCAGAAAGCACATTACACAACCGAATCCATATGCTCCATCACTGTTGGGATGAAACAATTAACACTATGTGGAGGTGTTTTGTTCGACTCTTTTGCTTCGTTATCAAATTACAATGTTAACAGATTCTTTTAAAACATGTTTGGTTAGCTCAGCCATAAACACATACCATGTATATAAATAGATAACAACTCAAGTATGTTGAAATATGTTGTCCGTCTCTCTCCATCAGCTTGTAGTTTGGAATGAGTTGGCCGGAACATGAATTCAATATGGTATCAAAACCAAGAGGCCATCAATTAAAGACCTTGCCAACACAGTATAAAAAAATATGCGGCCTACAACGATCCCACGCCTAAGGACCAAATGCATGAAGTCAATAGAGTCAACTTTCATTCCACCCAAACCTCACCATTAACGAATTGTATTACCAACGCGGCTCCAATGGACCAACGAAACGACCACCCTCCATCCCCTCCGACTCGGTCTTCTTCGTCGAGTCACAACGGCGACAGTCGATCCTCCCTCCCCTACCCCTCGACTTCCTTGTCAACATGACCAGAGCATAGTGTAGCAGAAGGAGTGGCAACGCCTTAGTGGGTCTTTGATAATATATTTCTTGTGAGTCAGCAACATGATATGAATCCATCTCCTCCATCATTTTCGGCAATGGCGGTTGAATGGATGGTTGCACTAAATCCGTAAATCGAGGGGGTAAGGGACACCATCGAGGAGAAGAAGCTTCATCTAGAGACAGGGGCCTTGGATGCCATGAGCGAGTAGTGCTATGTACAACATCGCCGGCGGTGGCGCCGTTCGAGCTGTGCTATGACTCCACGAAGCTGCTGTCGTCGCATACGGGGTACTCGGTGCCGGAGGTGGACGTGATGCTGGAGGGTGGGCAGAACTGGACGGCTTTCGGCGACAACTCCATGGCGCGGGTGAGCCGCGGCGTGCTTCGCGTTCGTGGAGATGAAGGGCCGGGACAAGGGTGCGGTGCCGGCGGTGGTGATCGGCGGGTCCAGATGGAGAGCAGGCTGGTGGTGGTCGACGAGGACAAGCAGAAGCTCAGCTTCAGCCGGCACCTGTCAGCCGATGGGTTCTCCTGCAGCAACTTCAATTTCACCAGGGCGGCCTAGTGATCCACACCGCCGTTTACGTCTGGTGCTCAGTGAGTTGACATCAACTGATCACGAATATAAAGCCCTGCCCTGCCCTGCCCTGTCTGACGATGATCGGAGTGTATATGTCTGACGGATATCAGCAACGACGAAATACAAGTATTAGCCAATCTAATTGATGATTCACCACGCCCAAAAAAAATAACAATGAAAATTTGAACATACATACACATGGTTTCGGTTCTGTCAGAGTCTTAACATAGCAACAACGTGAGCTGTAAAAAGTTTGTTTGCAAGACCACCTTTCTGCTGAGATCGATCAAAAAGCTGATGCTGCTTTGCCTCGAGATAGCCTGCAACTCCTGCACGTACGCATTAACACATCTCAGAGCATGTATTCAGCCCGCCGCTTTACCATGCAACCGTCGAACTCACATCATCATCCACTTTCGGCTTTTTTATCAAACGTGTCTTCAGAGGTCGTGATATCCTCATTCACAACTGCACAACATGTTAAAATGCAACCTTTGAAGTCACACATCATTGGGCACTTTCGACTCCTCATCGAATATGTCTTCAATGATATTCTCAATCATGAGATCCTCATTCACCAGTGTGCACCGCGTTAAAATGCAACCGTCAAACTCACATCATCGACCACTTTCGACTCTTCATCAAACATGTCTACAGTGATGCTCTCGGTCATGAGATCCTCGTTTACCATTGTGCACCGCACAATGAACTCGTCCTTATTCCGCATGCGATGCGGTGCCATCTTCTGTGCTTGAAATGTTATGATGACATTGCTCTTGGATTGGGGCGGTACAATTCCTTTGCTTGGCTCTATGAGGTACTGTCCACTTGAGGTTTGGACGTAGAAGGCAATGTAATCATCCCTCATGTTACTTAGTTGAAGCAAACATGGTATCCGCTTATTTGCCTCAAAAGGGAAATGCAGCTCGAGCGGATCTATGTCAAGCAGCTCCCAAGGGTAAGGGCTTATCTGCAAGGAAAAAGTGGGGACTCTGATAAGTACTCGTCTAAGAAAATAGACCAGGGAGCAAATGAGCTTACTATCTTACCAGGCTAAATGTAGGTTCATTAGCATTGTTGACGTGCCCATTTGTACTATCCAATTCATCGAGCTGACGGATTATATCCGATATATAAGGTCGTTTTTTCGGGTCATGTGACACACAGCGTGCTGCAATTTCTATGCATTCAGTAACTTGTTGGTATCCCGATGGTGGATAAGTGGCCGATCTATTCCACCTGTGCCTCCATCTTCTTAGTACCTAACATTTATATAAATGATTACTAATGATGCTAAAATATTAGCCCAAACCTTGCGAAAAGCACAGAAACTACAATGACTCTCAAAAATCAAATTTATACTTCAAATCAAACAAGGACAAAAGGACGGTAGCAAACTCAATGGCCCTAACATAAAAAAATTACTCAAGGGGCCTATTTGGTCCAGTTGTAATCACAAACTGTATGTATGAACTATGAACTGAAGGACCTACTTTAACAAAACTGAGGGGGGCAATTGGTCTTATGTAAAATTAATTAAGTATTTAATAATAGCTAAAGTCCGGAGTTGTGGTAACAAGGAAATCTGAAATTCCTAGTTAAAACAAGTCTTACATTTTTAGTATCAGGATCCTCCTTACGTCCAGTCACGAGATCTATAATTATAACACCCAGACTAAATATGTCTGACTTGAAAGACACCTGGCCACGGTGTAGGTATTCTGGAGCACAATATCCTCTGCATGAAATCGTGATAGTTGGATGTATTAGGGACAAAAACAAGACAGTGGACTGTAAATATGTTACAGAAACAATTGGTCTCTAGATGTGTAACTTACAGTGACACATGACATCCTCTAGTAACAGCCTGTGATATTCCATCAAGTTGTTTTGATATACCGAAGTCCGTAATTTTTGGTATCATTAGATCATCCATCAGTATATTGTCAGGTTTAAGATCCATATGCACAATATCCTTTTCCTTGTGAAGATACTGTAGACCATCACATATTCCCTTTATAGTTTGATAGCGTGTATGCCATTCAAGTCCTCTTAATTCATCTGCAGGGTTTGAAATAAGTATTAGGGAAGATGAAATCTTCAACCTATGATTTATGCATGCTAAAATGGAAAGATCAGTTCTTTTTGTCCAGTCTGCTTCTTATCATTAATCAACACTTGCAGAAGCAAAAAAGAAAGATGACCAAATAAAGAAAAAACTGAATCACATGCCACATTGTTGTACCAGTAAGATGATTGTGAAGGCTTCCATTACTGATATACTCAAAACAGAGCAATCTTTCTCTAATCTCTGGATACAAATATTTCCCACATTTTCCTGATCCGTCCACTTTAATGGCTATATTCTCTGTATTAGCACAGTAACCTAGAAACCGTACTATATTTTGGTGCTTGACACTCATTAGAAAATTAGTCTCACGATAAAATAGTCCATCATCGATTGTCTGGCTGTTCAAAAGTTTCTTCACAGCAACATACCCATTTTGAAGAGCCCCCTGATTAACTTGTCTTGTTAGCACAACCATTAGCTCTAATATGAGGGAAAAAAATATAATTGAAGGTATTTATAGTTAAGATTATACCTTGTAAACGACTCCAAATCCACCTTGACCAATTTTTCGCTCATCAGCAAAATTCTTGGTGATGTCCTGTAACAGTGCTAGTGGTATACTTACTGGCTCCGCACTTAAGTCGTGTATTATTTGATCCAGTACATTAGGTACGACACATTTTATGTCCATCCTAATCAAAACATGCGTGCACTTTCTAAACCAGACCAATTTGAGTAGTTTTTTTGCAAACTAGAGCAAAGTTCCATTTGAATCCAAGTATTTGAACTAAGACAACCGTGCAGTAAGATTAATATATGAACTCTAGAGAGTCTGTTATCAAGAATAGATGGCTCGACCGAGAAGAAGGTACAGTATTGCATAATTTTGTAAGAAATATGATTCAAGCCAAGGCCAGAACCGAAGTCAACTGCTAAGGAGAGAAGTCTTGTGACTAAAATTGTTCTTTTTTTTATGGAAAAACTGCAGGAGAAGCTCTAATGGTATTAATATAAGAATATTTACAGCAGACTATAAAAAGAGGGAAAGAGTCAAGGCTCAGAGACAAAGGAAGAAGAAAGCCAAACTAACAAGGGAGCTCTAATACATTTTTACACGTGGATCATGACTGAAACTGCAAATCAAGCACAATGTGACTGGAAATTGACCTGGCATTAGGATGCATTTGTAGAGTTACTATATCTTTTGAACAAATCACATGCATGTATAGAACAGATGTGAGTGCGGTATACCTGTCTCTGAAAGCATCGATTAATCCCTTGTAGTCTGATGTTGAAGAATCATTCGACCCTTCACTGCCAGATTTCTCCTCTGGAGGGGTCGGATTTGGACCAAAATAATATCCCTGTTTAGCCCATTGAGAAAGAGGCATTGGCGGAGGCGGAGGCATTGGCGGACCAAGATAATATCCCCATTTCTTTGCCTCAATTTGACAGTGCATTTCCAAAACCTGCGACATACAAATTAAAAATTCGTTGTTTCACAATGAATAAAGAAAGCAAAGAACAGAATCTCCAAATAACAGTAAATCCACAATTGTGTACCTCCTGATCAACTTGAATAGTATGGACCCCATTAACAGCTTTCAGGATCTCAAACAAGACATCTTCAGTCTGGAACGATTTAGTGAGCAGATCACTGAGCAAACAGATCAACAGAGACGTTGTGGTTAAAGAGGAGCAAATCAATCGAGTAGTCATTGTTGCTATTTGATTGCTCATCAGCATGATGATCAGTTGTTATGGTAACATAAATAGGCTCAAGAATTGCCTCTCACCGGTCAGACTTGTTGACTGCATTCTGAAGCGTCTTGATGAACTTCTGACAGTAATGAAGGTAGAAGTGCTGCATCTCTAGCTTATCACTCATCCTTCGCGAATCTCTCTTCTCATTCGTCCACGTGTTATCCTAAACGAGGGTGGGGGGGACACAGACCGCCACAAATCAAATAAAAGTTAGCATCCTAAAAAATACATTGGGATGAAAAAAACAGAACTCCAGACTCCGTTTGCAGAATACCCTCTCTAGCGCTTGCAGAAGCGAGGTCTTGAACTGACGAACTCCAGGGCCGCTGGAGGTCGGGTCGAGCCGATGCGCCTTCTCGAACGCATAGAAGCGGCCTGGAAGAATACATAACAAAATGCAAACTAAGCTGGGATTTCCAAGAGAAAATCAATGTGGGATCGGAAGATCGGAGGAGGAAAGTGGACTCGGCTCACAGAGGTAGGCGACACGCAAGTTGTCGGGCTCGACCTCGTTGGCCACACGCAGGAAGCGTTGGACGTCGACGAGAGAGGGGGGCACTTCCAGTGGGTCGAAGATGGAATCCCCCATGTTCTCCACCGTCTGCATCTGGAGCAGCCGCCTCCCGCTCCCTGACGACGCAACGAGAACTCCGCCCTCCTCCCGCCACCCGCCCCGGGAAACGAGAAGCGCGGCGCTTGATCTCCGGGAGGCGGGGAGAAACAAAAGATTTGGCCGGCGGCGAGGCAGGGTGAGGAGCACTGCTGCCGAGATGGGGGGAGAGTGACAAGCGTCTTTGTGCTGTAGCGGCCTCGCGGGAGTTGACCTCCGCTCCGGGGGGAAGCTGGCCAAACCGGCTGTTTTCCTCGGTCCGGCCCACAAGCGCGCGCCCGGCATGCGTCACCTAACGGGCCTGGCCCGTGGCATTGCATGTGCTGCCGAGGTGAGGCCCACGGGCTGGAACAGCACGACCCGTTTTCTTTTGAAAAAGAAAATTCTGATTTTTTACCCCTAAAAAAATCTGATTTTTTTTACCAAGTTTTTTGCCCAAAAGGACAACATTATCAAAAACAACCCAGAAGGTAAAAAAACACGTGGGCTGGCCGGCTAGGTATGTAAACGGATTGGATTAGATAATGAGTTTCCCGTATCCTTTATCATAACTTTTTGTCTGCATTCGAAGCGGAGCGGATTCAGACCGTATGCGGATTTTATTGGACTATGGATTTGGAGAAAATTCGGACCGAGAACCAACAAAAAGTAATAGGTCACACATGCACTGGGACATGATTATTTATGTTATGCAAACAATATGAATATGGTTTTCCATCATACTACATAACTTAACTTTTTAGCATGCGTACATATAGAGAGAAAAGAAACATCATGCATAACAAATTGTATGCACGTATTATCTATATCTATACCTACTAATAAAGGAATTAGTGGTTCTGCCCGTCCGTCCAAAAATTACCCCTAAAGTTGCTATAAATTACCCACTATGACACTCATAAGTGAACAAAACGATTCGATTTTACCTTCCGAAATCAATCGTCGTGTTTGGTTCTTTTATAAACACGATAACCACATATATCAAAGCCACACAAGGGCCGTAATGGTTTGAGCCAAACTCTTCCATTCTAGAGACCAGGGTTTGATCCCCAGGTTCGTTCATTTTCTCACGTACCTCCTCCTCCAACGTACGCATCCATTGGCTGGCCAATGTGCATGCATGACGCCCCCTGTTTTGTTTTTCATTTCATTTTTTTGCCTTCTCTTTTCTTATTTCTGTTCTTTTTCTTTAAATTAATTTGGGATTTTCATATTTTAAAATTTTTGAGTTTTTTAATGTTCAAGGATTAAAAGTTGTTGGTGATTTTGAAAACTGTTTGCACATTATTAAAAAATATCACGATTTCAAAAAAAAGATCGGTAAATAAAATAATGTTCATCATTTTAAAAAAACAATCTTGTATTCAAAACATATTTGTGAATCTGAAAAAAATGTCCATGCAACTATAGAAAATCTTCACAAAAATTCAAAAAAATCTTGAATTTCAAAAAAGAGATCCTAGTTTACGAAAACTGCACATTCATCTATACCAATATAAAATGACCCATTGGGGCAGATCCAACAGATATCGACCATCCATTAGCGTTAATCCCACAGCCCTTATTGTCCTAATGGTGAGCAACTAAACATGTTTAGTGCTAAACGTGTTTACTGCCAATCAATCCTTTCTCTTCCTGATTCCCTTCCTTACGTACCCTTTCACACGAAAGGAAACTGCCATAGCGAACCGCCCCACGCCGCCCCATCACCTCGCTTCAGCGACGCACGCCGCCCCCATCGCCTCGACCCGCAACAGCTTCAAGGACACCGCCCTCACATCTCTGTGCCGCCCCTACCCATCGCCTTTGTGTGGCCTCAGCCGTAGCGACTCCGCCGCAACTTCAAGGACGCCGACTGTCGCGGACGCCGCCTAGACCGCCTGGCTGACAGGCGGGGGCTCGTCGGAGGCGCCGCCTGACCGCCTGGCCGTCCATCGGCATCGGACTGTCAGGGGCGCCGCCTGGCCATCCATTGGCGTTGGGCCGTCAGACCATCAGGGACACTGCCTAGACCCCTGCCCTTCCCTCTTGGTCGTCAGCGCCACGATCAGAGGACACGCCGCCGTCGGGCCAGAGGTCTTTCATCTCTACTTTCTTCATTTCTTCCGGAGAATATTGATTCACGTTTCACTGAATAGAAAAGCAGCATGTATGCACTAAAAACTGAACACAAATCAGGCTTCGTAAAACTGAACCAAAAGCAGCCTTGTGTGCACACATTCCGCAGTTATTAAGCTTCATTACCAACGTGCGCTATGAAACAACTAGGTTACACAGTGATATGGAACTTCTGATCACGTGCGCTGATTTGAATGGATTGTGCTTAGATTTTTGGATTTCTCTTTTAACGGCCCGAGGACAAGGTAACTGCTCCCTCCCCTGGTCACTTGCATATACCATTAACTACGTTGGATTAGTACAATTTTCAACCCATTTGAAGGAAGAGATGGACTTACCGCCGGTGGTACGGTGCTTACAGAAACTATTTCTTTTGATGCTACTTTGTCAAGAAAATTCAAGTATATCTTCAAGCCGGATTAAGATTACACGTGCGTTGCATGTGCGCATTTACTAGTTTCAACAAATGTTCGTCTAAACAAAACAATTTTTCTTGAATTTTTACAAAATGCCAAATTTCAAAAAACTTGTTTGTTGATTCAAAAAATTGTTCACCGGTTCAAATGTCTTTATGTCTAGGATTTTATTATTTTTTGTAAAGTCTTTATATGTCTAGGAGTTGGGAGTAGTTCGTGGTCGATGAGATTCGTTTTTGCTGAGATCGTTGAAAGCTGATGATTTGCCTCCAGATAGCCTGAAACTCATGCACGCAGAGGCAGGATGTTCCTTTAGCGACGCCAAGAGAAACTTGGAGAAACTCATGCAGGATGCTCACAGCCAAAAGAAACTGATGCAGGATGTTCCTTTCGCGGCGCCAACTTGGAGAAACTACTTTACCGCTGCCGCTTGTAAGCCTGTTCCTTCGGTTGGCGGACCGCAGGAGGTTGTATATGAACCACCAGCCACAGGCTGGCCTCCTCGGATACTTGCCCATTCTGCGCTCTCTTCCAGACTACTGAGCATGTCATTCTTCACTGCCCCTCTGTCCAACAGTTCTGGCACGCACGCTTCCCCTCTTCACACTCAAATGTTGCTCAACATGGCAGAGCTATCTCTTCGATCTGCCTCAGATGTGCTGATCACTTAACTGGTAGTTATCTCTTCAGTCTTCCTCAGATGTGCTGATCACTTGCTTCTTTGGTCAAAACAGGTGTTCCAATGCGGTTCGACGATCTCTTTTCTTGGGCCTTTCCCTCTGCTAGGTTTGTGCAGTTGCTGCCTTTTTTTTTTGCCCCTTCTGTAATTTTTGCTTCTCAGCCCCTGCCCACGGGCTTTCTTCTCTTCTGTATATTGCTCTAAACAACTTTAATTTGGTTGAAAATGGTTCAGGCCGTCTTTTTGCCAGACATGGATCCCTAGAACGAAAACATATCTTCAGCACTGTGTTAAAATGCAACCGTCAAACTCACATTATCGACCACTTTCGACTCTTCATCGAACATGTCTTCAGTGACGTTCTCAGTCGTGAGATCCTCATTCACCATTGTGCACCGCACAATGAACTCGACCTTGTACATCATGCGATGTGGTGCCATCTTCCGTGCTCGAAATGTTATGATGACATTACTCTTAGATTGGGGTGGTACAATTCCTTTGTTCGGCTCTATGAGGTACTGCCCGCTTGACGTTTGGACGTAGAAGGCAATGTAATCATCCCTCGGGTTGCTTAGTTCAAGTGGGCAGGGTATCTCCTTGTCTACCTCAAAAGGGAAATGCAGCTCCAGCGGATCAATGTCAAGCAGCTCCCAAGGGTAAGGGCTTATCTGTAAGAAAAGATTGAGGACTCTCATAAATACTTGTCTAAGAAAATAGACTTGGGAGCAAATGAGCTTAGTATCTTACAAGGTTAAGTGCAGGTTCATTAGCATCGTTGACCTGCCCATTTGTACTCTCCATTTCATTGAGCTGACGGATTATATCCGATATATAAGGTCGTTTTTTGGGGTCATGTGACACGCAGCGTGCTGC